AGAGCTCTCCTTTATCCGTACAGCATTGCTGTTTTGGCACCCCTAAAACCCAAGGCAATATCCAAGTCCCGCGTTTTACAAAGTCAAAATTGCGAATGACTCTGTTCCAACCCCCAAAGCTTCAAGAGTCATGGATGAACTTCAGGTGGCCTGACCATTGGAGTTGTTGGAGCCTAACTGCCAGGGCATTTGAATAGGATGCTACACAGAGAAACACAGGAGGTACAAGTCTTGTGGATGAGGAAGGCGGTTTTGCCCTAAAGCCAGCACAAGGCCTAAACTGAGGCCTGGCTGGCTTTCCTCCTTTGGAAATAAGCCTTTGGTTGCCATGGTGCTCCCTTTATTCTATAGTGGGGGCTCTGGAAAGAGCAGAGCCTCAGACTGACACCAGATCCCACAGTAGTCAGGTCACCAGGTAAGGGTAGAAAAATAAGCCAGGAACAGATGGGACACGTTGACAAGGAGCATTACAAAGCAGAGGCTGTAAGAATAATATGCCCTGCTAGAGAAAATAGCCAGGAGAATTTCGAATGAAATGACCGTTTTTCATTTATATGTATATCTGTGCCACCATTGCTGCATTAGCTAACAGCAGCAATCTGGGAAAACACTGGTTTCTGTGTACTTGTTTGGTCCCTATTTTTACCGCATCTCAGGAAAATTATCTTGATGTGGGTTGCTGCAATAATTATTGAGGTTTAAACCCCTCTTGAGTTCATGAGTTAAATCTACAGTTGGGAGAGGACCTTGTCTTAAGCCCCTATGGATAATAAGGTGGAATGCATTGCACCTTTTTGTTGCTGCAATTTTTTTTGAATTACTAATGCTCTCCTAAACGATTGTATTTTATTTATCGGATAGATGACTAGTAAAAGAAAAGTAGCTTATTTTAATAAAGAAGGCAAGAAAAACTCACACATACACAGAGGAAGAGAACTAACTCCACACATGACAATTTTAAACATGCTTTTGAAAAAGGGTGTTTAAAACTATGACTTAAATTTTTGAGGGCAGAGCAGAAGAAAAAAAGTTTATTTCCAGGGAGTGTCTTAAAGAGTTTTTTAGCATCATCCAGCCATTGTTAAAGTCTTATTGTTGTTACAGTGGCACAAAAATGTGGGTAGTTCAAGAAGACAGTATTAACTCGGTTCCTGCTAGGGTGAATATAATAGTAAAGTCACAACTATTTTATTCAGTCTCAGGAGCAGAGCAGCTATGACTATTTCTTTAGATGAGTAATTATTTTTAGTTGTGCTCTTGGAGAAAAAAATGAAGATAGATTTCAAAGTCCTATGATTTGGTTGCCTATACTATGGTCTAGCAAGTGGACTTAAGCATGCTGAACTATAATATATTATGGATCCTACCTATTACAATGGATATAACTGCTTTCACCAAAATAACTGTTATTTTTAAGTTGATATAAATTTTCCACATTCCCATTCGCTGCAGTAAATCCAAGAGCTGAGCAGACCAAGTTAACATTTAGAATGTCTGAAAACATAAAGGAAACCTGTCTCAAACAATGTCAGAAGTGCGATGTTGACATGAATGGAGACATGTTAGATGCACAAGGTGTTTGTCTTCACTGCAAAACTGAGGCAAAAGAGGAGCATCAAAAAAATCAGAAAAGCAGAAGGTAAGGTACAGTAAAAGAATAGGCTTGGATTATCTTACAGATCACAAGAGGAAAGGTGATAGCTAGTGATCAGTTAAAATGCCTTTGAAATAACAAGCAATAAACAAAGAAATCCATGGACAGGTTGCCTTTCAATAGTTGTTGGCCATGGTAAGACAAATATTAATATTAAAAGGCATTATAACTCTAAATTAGGTGTGGACAACCCACCAACTGCACGCAGTCCCAAAGTCCTACTTTTGCTGTTCCTGGAAGTCACTAAATAATGATCACACTTTTCACTGATTTTGGGTGGAAATTTAGTAAAGTTCTGTAGATATTTTTGCAATTTTCCCCCTTCAACAAGGAATTTCATCTATCAAAGTAGTATAAGCATAGGAAGTTGTTGCTTAGCAATTTTAATTTCGGTTTCTATTTCTTTATATCCAGTATTCAACTAAACTTTTCCTGTTATACAATATACTGTCTCTAAATACAAGCAGTTTTTTTGGGGGTGGGGAGGAATTGTTATTTTCTAGCCCTGTAAATGTATTGAAATCCTTTGGAATCACTAGTTGTTGACATACAATGCTTGATTCAAAGCCTCTTCTTTTTGATTGAGGAGTGGTTTTATTTAAGGACATCAAAAGAATCTTGATAAATGAGGCTAAATGTTGACTTGTGAAGTCAGGGTTCGTGATATAAAATAATCTACGGTTTCTTAGTTGATTATCATCTAGTGCAAATGATACACTTTTTGCAAGCATTTGTATTAATATTGACAAAACATGGAGGAGAAGGAGGAGGAGGAGGGGGGGGGAGAGGAAGATGATGATTTTGGAAATGAATATGAATTCATTTCATATTGCAAACCAATTGGCATAAGATGCCTTTTTCCTGTACGATTTTCAGATGATGATTTTCATTTTGTTAAGTTATCAAATTGAGCAAAAAATAACTGTAAAATTAATCAAATCTTAATTATTTAGTTAATATTATTAACTCTTTTCTTCAGATATCTTCTGAGAATCTTGCTTTGCCGAAGATTTGGGTGCAACAATTTATAGCCATTTTCTGGGACCTACTTTCTTTATACCAATTTTGTTTATTATCATATCAAGCTTCTGGAGAAAAAGTGTTCAATCACATGACACATATGTAGATTTTCTTCCTTCTCTGCTTCTGACATTACCAAGCCCTATGTATACCAATTGAGTATTTCTGCTTGAAAACAAAAATATAACCATTTCATATGGGAATCTATTTTCAAAACAGTTCCATTGCAATTCAACCAACTCATTTATTCTGATTCAAGAGTAATCAAAACTGTTTTATGAGACATTGAGATTGAGTCAACAGTCCACATATGTTATAGTATTGGGGGGTGAGTGGTGGGTGGGACAGTAATCCAAGTCTGCCCTCTGCTGGCCAAACACATACCAAATCTAACCACAATTTTAAAATCTAAACCAAGACTTCAAAGTTGAGACCAACAGTTGTCCTCTTAAAAAGTTCATATTTAAGAAGTAACAAAGTTCTATCCAACTGATCAAGATGCTGTTCCAAACAATATAGTCTACCAAAAGAAATGCATTAGTCTTTAAGATGCCATTACTTTCTTGTCTTTAAAGTATGAATAGCACTTTGTCACATAAACTAGTATTATCACATATTTTAATATTTTTTGAAACTATTGATAAACATTTAACTCTTAATATATTTATATTAAGAGTTAAATGTTTATCAATAAACACACATTAACCTTTTAATACTACATTTATACTACCTCCAGAAGAAAGTTGGAGGCGGCTTATCAATTTCATCAGCCTGTTTCTCTTCTCTGCAATTGATTTAAAAATGTGATCAAGAATAATAATATAACAATTCAAAATCTGAATCAACTAAGAGTGCACATGAATACATGCTTTTTAAAAAATTAAATGCATATGTGTGTAGTAACAACTTTGAATATATGGTTTTGCTATTATTTGTAGCTTTTATCCTACTCCATTTTGAGTTCGGTAAATCATTTGCATTTCTTATTTGGAGGTCTGTAATTTACCTTCAGTCTAAAGGAAAACACTTTCCTTCTCCTGTGGACTCATTATTTTTGTGAATTGTAGGTGTGAATCATTTAATTTCCAGAATATTTCTTTGCATTCTGTCCTGTTCACTTCCTTTTGATGTGTAACTGGTGTTTCTAGGGCAAGACATTCTTTATTTCTTTTCCTGAACTATTTTATTTTCTTCTTTGCTAAGAATGATCATCTGTATTGTACTGTCTCCCAAGGGAGAAAACATTGTGAAAGCCTTTGAATTCTATAATGTGTGAGCACCGTATTTGAATTGTTTGAGGGGGTGGAGAGAGCTGCATATATATCCATTCCACCTTTAGAAATAGTATAGCTGGGTAAAACCAGGCTATTAGTATAAGCTGCTTTTCAGATTTTTATGAATGTATTTTTCTTCTGTGCATATATTAAAAATGAAGTTTGTTTGGTTCTGAATAGTTGTTTGAATGATTTATGTTCTGCTTTAGAAATAATAATTCTTCATTGTCTGCCTCCATGAATAGTTTCCCCAGAAACTCAAAACAATACAGCTAGGGGAGTTACATTTTATTGCAACTCCAGAAATGAAAGTTACTTCTAGTAGTTGTTTACTTCTGATTAAGCTTTCATTTTACATTATAGTATGACATTTTAGGTTCAATCTTGGTGACTTTCATTCTCAGCTTTTCCAAAGGTTACATAGAAAGTTTGCTTTACATTTTCCACGGCGCATTGTAAGAAGCCATGTATTAACATTCTCTACTACTATTTCTGAGAAACTATAGTTCCACATTTCCCTTCACTGAAAGCCGGTATATAAATCTGTGATTGTAAAAGAGAATGCATTGTAATAGCTGTTTCTAATTATCATTGGTAACATCTGAAGAATCCAACAAACCATTTCACAGTACTTGTACTTGCCTCAGTAATAGAATGTAAATGTTTGGTTGGCTGATCTTAATTTAATTGGGTCCTACGACAGTTGCAAAATATTTTAATATTTCACTTCTACATGACAAATTTTGGAAATTTACTGACATGATAGGATGCTGTCACTCATAATGGTCTAACACAGTATCATCTTGGTAAGCTGATAAAACAAACATAGGATAAGGAAAAAGATAGGAATGTAGGATTTAATGCTGACCTTAGCCAAACATTCTAATCTTTTTCCTCCCAGCAAGATTCTCCCCTCCTTAACACTTACTGTATATTCCATTTTTTGTATCAGTCATATCTTATGACTACCTAGGTAGCTTTATGTGATCAATATATTTTAATAAGAAGGTATCCTATGCCCATTAATAATATTGCATTATTGTACTACCTAGGGATTCTGCCACATACAATGTTGGTGAGATGATGGAGACTGAGCCTGCCTATGCTGACTTCATCACCTGTGATCGGACTGGTCGGAGAAATGCTGTTCATGTTCTTCCAGGGGATGCAGTTGCCATTAAGTTGGAGAAACCAGCAAACACCATGGATATTTCTGTTGCAGATGAAGGTGAACTCTTCTTTGTTCAATCAAAGCTTTTCAAGGACCGAATATCATTCAGGAAGCTCAGATGTAAATGTTATAATTCATATTGTACTTGTTTGAATGTTTATGCAAACTGTATTATGCAATAGCATATTTGCTGGCATGCCATTATCATGACTATCAGGTTTCTAAGCCAACCATTCAAATGCCAAGGAGCATGTCATCCTTCCTTTATATAAAGGGCCTAGTATATCTTTTAACACCTGTTCATTGGAAGAGTCTGTTCCTATGTGGGGTGTTTTTTTTAAAATCAGTATCCCTTCTTTAAAATTCTGAGTAATATTATCCTATGCTTCTTTGTGATCATAATTTACTGGTTTTTATTTTGTTAAGATTTTTTCTAAACCACCTATGTAAATCTTTTAAAACTAAGCAGTCTAATTCACGTATTTTGTACTGAACTTCTTCCATTATCATATAAACCCACATATAAATCTTGATCCATAATCTTGCACCAGGCAGGCAACTGAGTATCCAATCTCCGTATTTATGAGCATTTCTAAACAAGACTTCTCTCTTTTTTGTAGATAAAAGTCTTATAATGAATTAGCCAGTTTGGAATAAAATATTTCTCCCAATGCAAATAATTGTAGGCAAATAACATTTATGTTCAATTATTTTTACTGGATGCATTTATTGGATGGAAAAAAAATCCACTTTTTTTTTTTTTTTTGCAGAAAATCAATCAAAGGAAACTGCTAATGAAAAAAACCCTGGGCTGATTCCTGAAAGGAAGAATGATAATTCAACCTTCTAATTTAGGATGCAGAAGGTGGAAGACTAGATAACAACACTTGATAGTTACTCTATATGCTAAGAAATCAGACTGCAACAGGAAAATCTTTACTTACCATTTGGATGTCATAATCACTTTGTGCAGCAATTAATTGGTATCTCCGAAGTTATTTCTTTCTTTAAAGCTACAAAATAAGATCTGTTCTGGTAACCTGAGCCAGTTAGAGAGCGTTAAGCAGCTATTTTCTGTACAGTTAAACAACATTTCCATAATATGTATTTCAGATTTTATTGTAAAAGGTGCCTTTTGTTCACTTAGTAAATTTAAACTATTTATTTCTATCTCTTGTAAATTATTAGATGGTTTATTGTGTTCCTCACGATGCATATATAAAATCCCACACCTGGTTAATCTTTTAAGCTGTGAACATGGGAATTATAGGATATAATATACCAGACATTTCACCAGCATGAATCTCATTAAATAATTGAGCTTGATATTGGCAACAGTGCTTGTATATAGCTCTAGTTCAGTTCACCTTATTCTGTTTTAAACAAATACTATAGAAATTCCTGCTATAGGTGTCACCAAGTGATTCAGTATTTCTGAACAGGTACACTTTAACATTTGGTTTGCTTAGCTTTTTTTTTTTAAGAAAAGGTGATGCAGGCTAAGGCATAATATTTGTTGTATACAATTCAGATAACTCTGATATATTTGCATTATCTTTTAATAGCAATTTCCTTTTAGGCAAAAGTATTGAGCCAAGGTTGACTTCTGGTGACTACATAGATGCATCCTTGCTGGTATCCTTATAATAATCCTTATATTTTCCATTGCCTTCTTCCAACAGTTCCAGTAAATATTATGCAATTCTATAAATTTGTTTTTCAGCAAATAAAACTGAGTTTTATACATTTTGCTATTTCCTACATTTACCTCTATAGGCTTGCAATTTCCTTTTCTGGTTTTATAATCTGACATTAAAAATCAATAAAACAAAGATTTTCAAAATATTCTGTGATGCTAAGATTGGTATAGCAATCTGCAGAAACAAATACAGAAATGTCGAATATGTACTATAGAAATATATAAAACCAAAGTATTAATCCTGTCTATCCACAGAATATGCCAGAGTTTTCAAATAAACATCAGAATGCAGGTCTGTATGAAGATTAGGAAACATATTTAATTGCGTATACTACAATATGAATTTAGCAGTATGAATATTGACAACTTAAACACAAAAATTATCTGAAACTGGCATAATGTACTCCCAGAGATGGGTGCAAAAAAATTCAATCCTCAACATTTTTACCTTTGTGACTTCAATAAAAAGATGGAAGCAAAAGCTCATAATGTAATAACATATATAACCTATAATACAAATTTGGCAAGAAAGCTAATGTCCTAGAAGTCAGAAATAAAATTCAAGGTCAACTTGTTAGGGTAGAGAAATGCACTGGAAATAGTATAATTTAGTGAGATAAAAACAAAATTTGTATTCAGAAAATGCAGACCAAATGCAGAGATTCAGGAGCACAATACTTGTCTGGGTAATATTACATATGAAAACTTTAGATTACTATTTGAATACAAATAGTATGAGCCAGAAGTCTGATGTAGCTGCAAAGAAATGCTATTATTTTAGGCTGTATCCACATAATCAAAATTTTTCATTGAGGAGAATACCACCTGATTCCAAATGCATTTCTGTAAATTTAGACATTGTAGGAAGATGACCAAGTTCAACCGAGGTAGCAAACAATCAGAGTCTGGTAGCATCTTCTCCAACTTACAATTTTTATTATGTACTTTATGTATCTAATAAAGTGAGCCATGCTCATAAATGCTTAAGTCTTGTTAGAAAAGATGCTATACTGTATATTGCTATGTCACAGAACAATACTAAAATTTTAGGCCCCTTCTAGCTTAATGAAAGTTTTTTTTGCTTCTTGTTTTACTAAAACAATGAAACATCTTATTTTGTAGTGAAAGGTAAAACAAAGACTCAGACTCTACTTTTCATTTAATGTTTTTTAAATTATTTTATTTGTAGATTTTGGCTTGACTGTTTTTTCTCATATGCCAGACAAAAATGAAACATACCTTTAAGTAAAAATGGACTTTATTTCATTAAATGAAGACTTAAGTTCTGCTCTTTCCTCAAAATGAATTCTGAAGATATATTGTGTTACACAGCAAGAATATGGATCACAATATTAAAACCATTTACAAGCAGGATAATTTTTTACTGGTACTACAAAAATATTAAAACAATTCTTTTATATAATCCTGAATATAGACGATATGCCTGTTGACATTAAGAACTTTTTATTTAACATTCATATAAACCAGTATTTACTGGCTTGCTGTTTTCTGAAATACTTAGTATGCATAGCTAAGCCTACACCTCTGCACACATGACACTAATGTAAAATCTATTCTTCAGACAAACTTTTGATTTTAGTCACCAACAACATGGTATCACAAACATGTAGGAGTTCCTTAGTATTGATTACGAACTTTAAAAAAAAATCATTACCAAATCAAATCAAACCAGAACCATTTCTATACACAAAATAAGTAATAACAGTGTGAGTTTGTGTTTAGAGACAAGCTCTAACAAATTACAAGAAATACTACATAACTAAAGATACAGAGAAAATTATAAGAAGTACAAGAAAGGCTTGGATTCTATGTTTTAATCCTCTGGTCAGTTTTGCTGAATTATATGAAAACATTCCAAATTAAATGTTTTAAGTTCTGGCAGCAATGTCAGATTTCTACTTTCATTTTTTTCTAAAACTTGGCTTAATTTTTCAAGCAGTCTCTATCATTCATGTATTCAGCACACTTTCATAATGTCCCAAGCACAAGTACTCAAGTCTAGAAATATCAAACCCATAAAATAAACGAAATAATCTTGTGATGGTTGAGGAAAAAGAGAAGAAAAAAAATGAAGCAAATGATTCTTACATGGCTACGGATTTGTCTCTCTGAACTGAAATATGCTAAATATGCACCTGCTCCTGAAATAGCAGTTGAGTGTTTAGCTGCCACCCTCCCTTCATTGTCAGAAATTGCTGTGCTTTGATACTGCAATGATTTCTCACTTCCAACTTCATGTTGTTGCTACTTACAAGGTATACAGAAACAAGTAATAGTATGATTTGCACGTAAGACTTACTTGAGATCTAAGCCCGTAAGAACTTATATTTGGGGTTTTCTGCAACAAAAACTAAATCAATGTAAGACACCAATTTCATAATATACCAGCTTAAATCTTGAATGTGCAAGACTTTCACACTATAATATAAAAACATGGATCTAAGTTCCTGAGTATATAAATTGGGGCTTCAAAGATAGTCAATGCAAAATAAAATAAAAAACTTACAATTATTAAAGGCATCTAGCATATTATTTGGGAATGAGAATTGTTGGCTATGATTTTAATTTGCATTTGCTATTGTATTTTCCTGCTCAAAACAATAATTTCATTATAATACATATTTGGTTACAGCTTTCCTCATAATCCAGTTAAACTGAAGCACCTTACAATTAACTCATTTTGTTTTTTAGTTTCCTTAGGGAACAAAATCCAATAAAATAGTCAGTTTAGTACTAGATATTTAGTTTAAATTTGTTTGTGTGTGGGGGGGTGTTATTCCAGTTAAAACAAGGTAACTGAGCACCATTAGATAATGTTGCCTTTCTGTTAGCTCAACAATCAAAAAATAAACAAAAGTGTCAGTATGCTATAGTTAAATCACATAATTCCCAGTTAAACATATAGTACAGATAAGAAAAATACAAATGGCTCAGTGAATAGGTTAGAATACAAACTTTAAATTTGCATTTCTATACAATCCCTATAAGAACAGAAATTCTATGCAATTCTATTTTTTAAAATACTGTTTTTCCCATGGCACATCTCCAGCATAAGACATTTTAGGCAAGACCGGTTTTTGAGAAGGCAAATGTTGAATCAGCATTACGAGAATTTCTACCATACAACTTTCACTGGGTCAAATATATTTTGATACCATTGAAATGAACGAAATGGCAAAAAAACATGAACTACTATTCAGTGTAAGTAAAATAAAGTAGAGAAATAAGATCCGTCTATAATCAAATTAAATGATAAAGTATGTTTGTTTTTCTGAGATTTATGAGCACAATATGATTTTCTAAAAAAAATCAATCTTAACAATACTTATGATCTTTCTCCCTTTTGTTAAAGTAGGAGTGCACAAAAGACATCACTTGTAGATAATTTAGTGAGGCAGATTATTTTTAAAAAAAAATATTTTAAAAATGTCTGAGATAGGTTTTGACTGCTGTTTCAAATAAATAGTTTATTTGACCTACTGGTAAGTTTTGAAATAATAAATGGCCTGCAGATTTGGCGTACCAGAGATGGAACTTAAGTGAATGTAATTGCAATAAATGTATCCCTATTTCCAATCTCTAGATGTCTGAGCAGCTTACATTCCATTTAAAATTTTTTAAAAAAATTAAACTCATGGTACCTACCATCATAAGAATACTGTTTTGTACATTCGGTAGTTATTAAGAGTAAACAAGAGTAATACGAAGTTTGCTTATTGTCTTCCAAGAAGCAAAACAAAGACTTTGGGCAAGCATAACATTGGTCAAGAAAACAAACTGATGCCTGGTACAGAAGAGTTCAGAATTCTGTGCTTTTTACCATCCCATAGGCTTTTTGTAGCTTGTACACAAGCTCCTTTTTCTCTTTTTCTTCCAAGAAGCAGGACTTTGCTGCATTTATATTCTGTAAAAAGAAGAAGGAGGCACGCCTGATCATATTCCATTAATGTGGGCTGTACTATTTTAAATAAATAGTTGACAATGCTGCTTTTAAATGCTATACTTTTATCTTTGAAAATGAATGTGTTTTTACAAAAGTCTAAAGCGGAGTTAACAAACATAAGGATGCCACAGATGGGGTTTTAGGCAAGCACTCTTCCCATTTAAAGCGCACCTGAAGTTGCTCAAATACTAAGATAAATTCATATATACAGCATATCTTAAGCCACATGCTGCAGATTTGACTACTTTTACATTGGGGCAAAGCAAATAAGTAACCCAGTAAAAAATTATAGACTGATAGCGCTCTTCAGAATCCAACATGCTGTTTGTTCTTCTGTTACGGCTACCAAAGATTTTTTAAGCAGTTAGGAGATGCACTGGCAGGATCCCAAAACAATAAAAAGTTTGAAAGTCCTATTACTCAGCAAAATGCTCTAAGGCTACGGTAATGCAAACTGAATAAGACTGAGGTCATGGGATATTAAACTACAAACTTTGCGATCATATTTTGGTAGAGCTGTGGGGGCACAATGGTTAGGATGCAGTATTGCAGACTAATTCTGCTGACTGCCCACAATCGATCCTAATCAGTTAAAGGTTGACTCAATCTTCCATCCTTCCTATGTTGGTAAAATTGTTGGGGGCAATATGCTGGTTCTGTAAACCGCTTAGGGAGGGTTGTAAAGCACTGTGAAGCAGTATATAAGTCGCAGTGCTATTGCTATTGCTATTTTAGCCTATTATGTTGAACAACACCTATGCATATGCTTATAGTTCAGTATGTAGTACCAATCCAGAAACTTTAACTGATTTTAAAACAGTTAACATATGGTGTTAACAAGTTACATCTTCTAATTTTGAAAGCAATTAAATTGGTGTTAAACTTAGCCTTTCATCTATTGTAGAGCGCCATATAAATTGCGAAGAGCCATGGAAAACACTATATCAATAACTACTTTTTTTATTAACAATCCAATATACCAAAACAAAATGTCTTTGAATATGCAGAGAGTTATCAGAAATAGGATATGATTGCTAGGATACAACAAAAACAACCACAATAAAGTATAATATCATCTGAAATTAATAAGAAACAATAGTGTGCTAATGAGCCTACACAGTTTTTTGAGCATTAATTTCTTAATTAATTCCAATTTCTTAACTATTTCAGATTAGGAGTAAATAGATCCCAGAGAACTGTGAGATTTTTTTAAAGACAAGTTGTCAGCTGACAGTGTTTGTGAATACATGAAGGTCCATATGGAATACAGAAATGACTATTTATTAACAAATACCTTGCCACAATGAGCATATGTTTACATAAGAAACCATTACCCGAAGGATGTATTTAAATGGTAATAATATTACCGTATATACTCGAGTATAAGCCGAGTTTTTCAGCCCACTTTTTGGGCTGAAAAAAGCCGCCTCGGCTTATACTCAAGTCTACAACTGGATCCGGCAGTGCTGTTGCCTGTTGGAGGAGGAGGAGGCAACCCAGCCTGCCCCCGCCGGCCCCCGCCCCCCCGCCGCTCTTCCCGCTCCCTTCCAAGCCCCACAGTCCAGCGGACGGAGCAGAAACAGCCCCGGGGCTTCACTGCCGCTCCCCGCATTTTTTGCACGGGGATCCCTTGGAGAGGGGATTCTAGCCTGCCATCGCCGGCCACCGCCAGCCCCGCCGAGAAGAAACCTCACTGATGCAATCCATGAGAAAAATATACAAACAACATCAATAGTATAAAGCAGTGGTCCCCAACCCCCGGTCCGCTTTGGTAGCCACCCGCCCGGCCGCCTTGGTAGCCCGTGGAGACGGAGCGCGTTCGGTTAGCCGCTACCTGGGGGCGCTGTCCCCATGACGTCACCGTGGAGTCCTCGCCTCCTTCCCTGGCGAGGCTTTCTCCCCGCCAGCCAATCAGAGGCCAGTCCCCGGGCAAAGGGGGCCAAGTTGCTGGCCGGTCGAAGCAGAAGCGGGAGATTGGAGGGGGGGGAGAGAGAGCAAGAGCGAGCGCTGGGCGGGTGGCAGCGCGTTACACAGCGGACTAGGCGCGCCGCGGGCTGCCAACCCCCCCCACACACA